CGGATGCCCTAAAAAATCCTACATTATCCCGGTGCATCACCGTCGTCCACCTTCTCAGATTTTTCGAAGACAATTTCTTTGGGTCTACTCCTTCCTCGTTTTCCTTCAAGTTTTATCTTTTAGTGAGAGCAAGATGTTCCCAGCTCTAATTACGAGTCAAGTACCCAGAAACTGCATTTAGTTTGTCGCTTTTAAATGGTTTCTATTAGTGAGCGGCCCACCTGGGCTTCTTTCAGTGCTTCTTTTTTTTTGCTTTCTTTACTGTCCGTGCACTTCTCTAAAGTTTCCCGAGAAACCACATTTCTGTTGCTGCTATTTTTTTTCACTATCTTTTTGTAATTGCCCAGTATTCACACCCCCTTAGAAGCCTTGACCACACTTAGCTTTTCAGAATCCTCATTGAAGTCATCATAGAGATTTCTAGTTCAGTGTTTGGGGCATTTATTGAAGCACCTTTTTGCCTGTATACTTAGAGAATAACCCCCCCCCCCAACCCCATTTCCACTTTTCATCCTTACCACGGATCACGTTTTACAATAAATCATCTAATGTATATTTTGTTGGCACGCCGTTTACTTCAAGTCATTGCTCAATCCACGTGTCAAATAAACAGCAGACTGTGAATATCGTTTTAGGCGGCCGGGAAGCTCTCAGCGATGATGAAGAAGTTAATTAAACAGGAGAACGAACGCCCGTTCACTGTTGTGATTGCACGTAAATCTCGTAGCGAAATGGATGTGTTTGTTTGACGCATTAGGCGTGATTTTGCGATGAGATTGGTAGTATAAGCCTTTATAAAAAATTACAAAATGAAGAGAAAAATATTTCTTTACTAATGAAATGAAAAGACTCCCCCACTTCCTTTTTTTTTGCCTCCAAGGTCTCCATAAACACTGAGTTCCCAGGTACCGGGACCTACACCCCCTCCTCCCCAACCCCAGAGAAAAACACCACCACACAAATTGTACGTAAAATGAAAGCACCTTTATGCAGAGTCGATACTCCATTCTCTTATTCATCTTATGCGATACTGAGATGTGTCCGTTAATTACGTGGTTTTTTTTTGCAGTTCCTTAATCTGTAATGTCGGTTGCTTGTCGTCAAAAATATCTTCTCGAATAGATAGATAGATAGATAGATAGATAGATAGATAGATAGATAGATAGATAGATAGGCTCTCGGACTCGCAACCGTAAGGTCGTGGGTTCGAATCCCGTCAGGGACCCGACGTTGTGTCCTTGGGAAAGGCACTTTACACGAATTTTCCTCACTTCACCCAGGTGGGAATGGGTACCCGGCTATAGACAGCGAAAGATCTTGTCAGTTTGTTAGTGTTCTATGGTCTGCTGGGGTAATAATATAGTGTAAAGCGCATAGAGCCTGCTGTTGAGCGGGGATATGCGCTATACAAATGCTATCTATTATTATTATTATTATTATTATAGATAGATAGATAGATAGATAGATAGATGGATAGATTGATTGATAGATTGATAGATTGATAGAGAAAGTGAGAGAAGAAAGAGGGAGACAGAGAGAGACACAGAGAGAGAGAGAGAGAGAGAAAGAGAGAGAGAGAGAGAGAGAGAGAGAGAGAGAGAGAGAGAGAGAGAGAGAGGAGAAATGACAAGTGCATGTGCTTGTATGGATTTATCTTACCGCAGGAAATATTTCTTATAGTGACCCTGTGTACGCACCCAAAGAGCAGTTGCTGGGTTTTTTTTAATATTGGGCCCAAATTTATTAATTTTTTTTTAAACTTTTTAAATTTCTGGATCAAGATTTTTTTCTTGTCGAATTCAAATTCTAAATGTTGAAAAAGTCAAGAAAAAAACATAATTTGGGTACAAGTGTTAAACGTATAAAACAGATTTCTCTCTGTCCTGAAAATAAGAATACTTTCTGGACTTAATCCATTTAAACAGACTGTCAACAATAAGGAACATTATTCCGTTTTCTTTTTTTGAGAGATCGTTTATACAAGCCCATACGATGGAGAGACTCAGCCACACCCTTTGAAGTATCGGAACCCTTGGTACTCGCACGCTCTTCCGATACACGCCCGTTCAGTGTGAGTACAACGTCATCATATGATAACAGTATTGTCTATAAAAGAGATAGCATGCAGAGAGGCAGGAACCAAAGGCTCTCTCCCTGTCTTCAAATCAGGAGTGGAACCTAAAGCCGAAGATATTCTTTCTAGCTTAAAGTTATTGGGTTGTTGGGGGTTTTTTTGTGTTGGTCTGTTTGTTTGTTTTCTAAGCTTGATTAGGTGAAGAATAGAAACAACTGTGACAATGACTCACACCTCGGGTGTCTTAAGATTTGTGGTAATTATGCTGTTCAATTATCAGGCGTTTGGTCAAGTTATTACTACTTTCGAGTCCAAAACACCTAAAACGATGGCTGGCGACCCCCCTGCCGATGAAGAAGAGTTCCATTATGAACAATCAGAGAACGAGACCGAAGGTATGTATGGAGAAATTATGATATCCGATTCTGTGTCCATACAACAGTATGATATTAGGTTTCATAATATTAATAGATTGTGGTGAAAGCAGGCTCTCGTCAAAATACTGAAATCGAAGAAACGGATAATTTTTAGCCAGTCGGACACATTTTTTTTATCGAACTTGTTTTATTGGGTTATCTTACTTTGTTTTGTTTTTGTGTTTTGTTCTTTTTGTTGGTGTCTATTAGTTTTCCTTTTTTGTTTGGGGAGGTTGGGCCGGGGGGGGGGGATACCCCACAACTTGCTTGTCCATTTTGAAACCCATTTCCGTGTGGGTCTTATTGGGAAACGTTGATAAAAGGCACACAATATGTAAATTTGCAGTTTGCAAGGACTCTCAAGCTTTAGAAATGACTAGGCTTTGGTGACCATTTTCTGGCTATTTTTGCCTCTGACACCAGGTGAACCCAATCGCCTTCATTGGAAATAGTTCCACTTTTATTTAAGATAGATGTGTAGTTTTTTCTTCTGTAGAGGCTTTATTTTAGCAAAGGCAAGTCAGAAGGGCAAGCTTTAAGTTGATACCAATATCTACATTTGGCTAAAACTCTAAGAACGCCTGATTTCACTACGTCGTAGCAAAATTTTTTTTTGCTGTTTTTGGAATTGTCACTGTGGTTGTTGTTGTTGCTGTTGTTGTTGTTACTGTTGATGTTGTGGCATAGATCGACTGTCTGACGAAGAAAAAAGGCCCACAGAAGTCACCCTAATGTAAAAGAAAGAAGCTATATATTATCATAAGATTATTATATTTTAGTACTTGCCCAAGCGTCTTCAGCACAACAGGTGACGACGGTCGCCTTGTGGTTAGGTTACCGGACTAGTAATCGTGATATTACAGAGGTTCATGGGTTCGAGCCTCGGCTCGGTCCGACGTTGTGTTTATGGGAAAGGCACTTTACACACAAGAACTTCCTACTAGGCTATATTGTTTCGGAGATGGACGTTAAACTCAGAGGTCCCACCTCTTAAATAACCTCATAATGTTGATAGGGGCGTTAATTAAACCTATACCATATCAGTATGTCATCCGGTTTTTCTGCCCGAAAACCTAGAGTATTGCTTTCGACCGCTACAATCGCTGTTTTATTGACGACAGTCTTACTGTCACTACTAGATCTACATATCTACAAAGATAAAAAAAATAAATAAAAGTGCTTAAGACCACTTTATTGAACTCCTTGGATGAATGCATGAACAATACCCAAACTAACAAAAATAGCAAATTTACACGCTATTGCTGGTCGCCAATGGCCGCGTCCAGTTTTTGAGCTAGGGTTATTGCGGGGGACGTAAACTGCTCATGTTTTATTCTGTTATACAACGGCTTACTCAATAGGCTGCTCTTCCTATGTACGGTAAATTGCGCAGATTTTTTAGTGCGGTATTCATTTTGAGGTAGCTGTAGTCGAATCACAATTCCGACCTTGACCAAGGTTCAGCTGATTGCGTGTGCACTAAAAACCGTTCCAGACCTCTCTACCAGGGTGGGTGTCGAAGGGGGGTACATTTTGTAGCTGAAAATAGTCCAGTGAGTTTGTCTCAGAAGAACCAGAAAAAAAGCAAATGTATTAGCGGCCCTTTATAAATATATGTGTATGCCCAATGCTATTTAATCTTGCTCTAAAAGAAACTTAAAATGGAGGTTTTCATGACAGAGAAAGGACCAAAAAATATATATGCAATAAAATGAAATAACCGTCTTGATTCTTGGCTAACGGAGGAGGTATACTTATAGAATTTCAAGTCGCCACCATGTCTAATACCTTGGGATCCTAAAAAAATACTCAATACCAAAAATCCCTGCGCAATTTTCCAGCAGTTTTGGAAAACTACTGTGAATTTATTTACAATAGGGTTTAGATCTGCGCAATTTTTGGCTTCCCCTTATCGCCTGTTGTTCTAAAGACACACCCCACTTGCAAAAACTGTATACCAGGATTTTTAAAAAAAATGTATTGGTGCTCTACTTGATTCGCAGTTCTTGTGATCTGAAAAAAAAAAGAGAATGAATTCAGGTCGTTTGCGAAATGTTATAAGGAGCACTACCACATTGGAACACAAAATACAGAGACCTACATGTCACTGAACCGCTTAATTTAAATTGCGAAACTAAAACGTGTGTGAAAAAACAAAAGGGCAAAGCGCCAAAAAAGCCCCCCTACCCCTAGAAGAAGAAAAACCCGTGAACTGTACCCACCTAAACACCGTGTCATCGAAATAGATATATGCTTGACGTTATTGCGAGGCTAGGCTAACTGACCTCCCACAGCCATTACACCACCCCCGACCCTACCTCGAGCAAAACAAACGAAAACAAAAACAAAATCATACGCAAAAGCTTTGGCTACTCTCCTTTGCTATTATTTGTGCAGCTTTGCTTAACAACGGATACCCACATTTCTTAAAAGTGTGAATTAGAAAGGAACGGCTTTATTCTGGAGAATTTTATAACGACACAGAGGAATCGAAAAAATACAATGCAGTACTCTTAGAAATAGTAAAAGATATCTTCTTTTACTTTTAATTGTTCAAGTCAGGAGAAGAGAGTGTGGTTTCGTCTAAAAAGTACACGCAATTGCCAGTGGCCATGAGGGGATCGGTTCTCTAATACAAACCAATCACCAGCCGATCGCCCAACTTGTGCCCTTGAAAACAAACGCGTTTGTTTTTTAGGCCGCGAGTCGGGCGATCGGTTTGTGCCACAATGGTCGCTTTGAATCCCCAATTTGGCCTAACAAACTGAACCGAACCGAACCGATCATGCCAATAGGCACTAGGTATAACGCAAAGATCGGGTTACCAGAATAAGTATAGATAATAATGTAGATTATACCATCTATCTTTCTGTCACTGTTCCCAAAGTGTGTGACCCAGCCATGGCCGCGAAGAAAACCATTTTCAACATCTGCGGCAACGCAATGCGCCAATGGTCTTGCTTGGGTCGTTGTGGTGTGTCCGAGAATCTGCCGTGTAGCTGTGCCTCCACATGTTTGCTCACCCGGACGTGCTGTATGGATTTCGCTGACCTTTGCTACTCGGAGCAGCAGAAGGCGAAACAGCAGCTGAAACAGTTCCCGGGCATTGAAGCCACATGCGATAAGGTATTTATCTATCTATCTATCTATCTATCTATCTATTTATCTATCTATCTATCTATCTATCTATCTATCTAACTCACAACGAAGTACATTATGTTTTCTATCTATATCTATCTATCTATCTATCTATCTATCTATCTATCTATCTATCTATCTATCTATTCTCGGGAGTCCGTGAGTGTCTATCATTGTTTCTTCATTAGCTTTTATTCTCTGCTGTTTAAGGTGGCAAAAGGCAAAAATGTCAACCGAACATATAACTATATATCTGTTGCCAATATAATATGATTTTTAAAGGTGTAAGTCACTTCAAGTACAATACCAAATATGTGAGACGTCGTGGTGAGATCAAGTGCTCGTCAAAATAATGAAATCAAAAGAACCAGCATTTTTCTGCCCATTGGACTTTTTTTTTCTTGTAGCTCAGCACCTTTCAAGTCCATTTGCAAACGCATTGCCTCTGTAGATTTTACTAAAACACGTTGATCAAAGACACAAAAGATGTTAATTTGCAGTTTTCAAGGAGTCTCGTGCTTTGGAAGTCACAAAACTTGACGGCCATTTTCTCGCTAATTTTACCTCTAACACTAGGCGGTCATCACCTTTTTCAATCGCAAACATCTCTACTTCCATTCATGATAGATGGCTATTTGTTCCACCAAAAGCAAGACAAAAGAACAAGCCTACGATGATACTAATAACTCCATATTCTAAATTTGACAAGCGCCTGATACCACCACGTCGTGACACAAACCACTGAGCATGCTGTAGAACATGGATATGCGCTGTATAAATGCAATTATTATTATTATTATCATTACCACATGTGTATTAATTAATAATCTGCTTCTTTTCATCCAAATTTTAAAAGTAAATTTGAACCTGTGCATCCTCCAGTCTTATTCTCTCTTTTTCCAGTACAATAGATTTTCAGTTGTAATTTAATACCCAATGAACCATGTCGAATTTAGGAGTATAACATTCACAGAACCGTTTCTCGCAGCATCCTATGCTATAATGGTTCGCTTTTGCTTTCCAAACAATTGCGCCTTTTTGGCCTGTTGTTCTCGGTAAATTTTACAATATCCCATCTGATCATCGCTTCTGGCTTTGTCTGTTTGGATCTCAGCTTTTCTGATCTTTTCTCGGCGCGTGTGGTGTAAAGATAGGACAAGGAGAAACGGTTTCGTCTGAAATTTCCCATTTTCTGTTAAAATAGCCAAATTGATTCTCACAGTACATGTTGGCCCTAATACATAAAAGCCCAGCTCCTGAAATGATCTTATGCAAGCCACACACAACACAGGCTGTCCTTAGGATCTGCCATCCGAAGATGATCCATGAGGGCGCCTTGAGGCCCCCTTATTTTGTCTTGAGGCTCGATGAGGCGACCCGGGCCAGGTGCACACACACACGGCACAGGCCAGGACTGCGCAAATCTAGTGCATACCATTGTGGCGACAAACCACAAGTCTAGCAATAGGTCTGTATTTGAAAAAGAGGCAAAAGAGGCTCTAGTCCAAAAAGTGGCACCTCCATAGATCTAAACACACAAACATCAACTTGCTTCGTGAATTGGTGGATAATTTTTGAGACTATCAGAATTATTTACGAATGGACGAGAGCACGTTCACCAAGTTGCTGCACATCGTGAGTCCCTTGAAAGAAAAACAGAATGCTATAATGAGTGAGACAATTTTGCCACATGAGAGATTTACTGCAACACTAATATTAATATTCCTTGCAACGAGCAGATCATACGAGGAATATTAATTTGTAATGACAATGTTCCAAGCGGCATTTGCGTGAAAGTTTTTCTTCGAACTAACGAGCTCCTTGTATGTTTTGTCTTTGAGTTGTGTGTTGTCGTCCTCTTTGCACTTATGTTTCCAAAGGAATGGACGTTTTTTGTTATGTGTCACGACGTGGTGGAATCAGGCTCTCGTCAATTTTTGGACATGTAGAGCTATTGGTATCATCTGAAAGCTTGTCTTTATTTGGATGAAAAAATAGCCATTTACCTTGAATACAAGTCGAGCTATTTGCGAATGAAGAAGGTGGGGGTCTCCCGGTTTCAGAGGTAAAATTAATGAGAAAATGGCCACCAAAAATTAGTTTTTTCCTTAGCTTAAGGGTGTGTGGTAACTGAATATTTACTTTTTTTTTCCTTAAATCAACGATTTTCAGTAAAATCCACTTAGAAATGAGTTCTTTAATGGGCATGAAAGGTATTAAGCTAAAAAATAAAAATTCGATAAAAAATTCACAAACCAGCGGAAAAATGCAAGTTTCTTCACTTTGATTATTTTGACGAGAGCCTGATTCTACCACGCTGCCTCACAATATATCAATAAAGTCCAAAACATTGTCTCTAGACCACGTTGCCATTTTCTTTCATCAAAACACCTACTGAGCACACTGGCTTCTTGGAAATTTCAGGCGAGAGCAGAATTCAGACAGTCCTTGATCAGTCCTCGCACTGGCCAGGGATTTATTTTGATTTCGGTCTGGGCTTGGCCCGTGCTTGCTGGGCCTGCGCTAAGTCTGTGTGAGGTCTGAGAGAGGTCTGTGTGAGGTCTGTGTGAGGTCTGTGTGAGGTCTGTGTGACGTCTGAGTGAGGTCTGCGTAGTCCAACTGAGGCCGGGCCTTGAGGACGACCTGTGTCCTGTGTTGCTGCCATAAGGCTGTGCCGATGTGAACACGGGAAAAATAATATCCTAAATCGCTACCTCATCTTTTCTCTCCTTCCTTTGCATCAGATGTCAGTGTAGGTGTACTGAATTGTTCATTCATCCTTTTTATTTTCTTATATAATTATACTTGTGTATAGATATAAAATGTTGTACTACTAAAAATAGATGCTCTCTCTCTCTCTCTCTCTCTCTCTCTCTCTCTCTCTGTATATATATAGTATGTGTATGTATGTGCGTGTGTGTATATGTGTGTGTGTGTGCGTGCGTGTCTGTGTGTGTGTGTGTGTGTGTGTGTGTGTATTCTTATCACATCGACATTGCCCAGACCACAACAGCCTTCCTGGTGTCAAACTGCCCGGCCGAGGCGAGCGACGAGGAGAGACGACTGTGCGAAGAGACTGGGGATTTCTTTGAGACCTTCAAGATCGATTCTCTCCCCGTGCAAGATTTGCGGACGCAGTTTCACTTCAGAAATGAGCACTGTTGGAGGTGTTGGAACGACTTTGGCTCTTTTGAGATTTGGCAGGTACAATGCGAGATAAACTAAGTCCAGGAGGCATAATATATGTTAGAAAAAAAGTATTCTACTAATCCGCATATTCATTGTGACCATTTTCTGAACATGCTTGTTTAATTATTTTTTAAAATTTCTTTCACCGGTGTTTAGTTGCGGTGTTTCCAGCATAGGGGAAATCAGCTGATGAACACTCATATTAAGTCTTATTAAGTAAATAAATAAGTGAATACATAAATAAATTAGTTTTAAAAAGATAAATAAAAAACCCATTAAATTTTTTTAAAAATTAATATATACAGTATTTAACAATATATTATCATAGAGTGAATTCACAAAAGAGCCTTAGTTTCATTCTGGCAGAGGCTCCTCGTAAAAGTTCAATTCAGTTATCTACTACACTTTTATTATTGGTTTCTTTGCAAAAAAATTAGCAAAATTGTATAGCCCCTTTTAACATAGTAATGTCATTTTTTAAAGGCCGAACCTCCGAATTTAACATCTTTCTCCGACAGGACAGAGTCAAATTTGTAAAGAGCCTTAAAAAGTCTCCCTCTATTGTTTAGTCAGTCCTACTTCCTCCTGGCACAAAATGGCTACTTGTGTTACCTCTTGTTTCCGTTTACTGAATCGTTGTTTTTTTTCTTTTTGACTTGTTTTTTTTTTTTTTGGTTAGATTTGGTTTGGTTTGGTTTGGTTTGGGAAATATTTTATTAAGGAGAGGATTGTTCTTTATTGTGTTATTTGTTTTTGTTTTTTTTAAATAAATCCAGAAACCTTTCAGATTATGCCCATCAGTCAAAACCTTTACTTTTTTAGTTTTACTTTGTCTTACTGTACTTGCAACACTAATAGGTCAAATATGGGCCGATAAATCTTTACTTTAATCAAAGACAACTTCTTCGCAGATGAAAATCCCGATGTCATCTACCAGAAAGGCAGACTACGACGGCACGAGCAACAGTATGCTCAGTTTCATGAGGGACAACCGTCAGGAGGTCATGTTCTCGCCTCAGCTGCCAAATACCATGCCTGTTTGCCTGGAGGACCACGCCGACCTTACAATGATAGCCAGTTGCCCTAGCTGTGCTAGTTCCGAGATGACAAGGGAGTGTGTCGAGGGAATATACGCTCCAGTCAAGGTGAGCTTTCCTCCTGACCTGGATACACCTCGCTACCTACCTGAGAATTACAAAGTTCCATTGTACTTCAAATTAAGAACACACACACTCACACACACACACACACACACACACACTCTCTCTCTCTAACACACACACACACACACACACACACACACACACTCATACACACACACACACACACACACACACACACACACACACACACACACATACACAATGCTCAGAGATGTAAAGGATAATTTACCAGTTTCGAAACCCTATTTCTGTCTTTTTTTAAACTATTTGATTTCAAAAGGAGAGCAAGTTAAGGATCGAACCAGAGAGTTTACAGTAATACTAGAGAGATGACACTTCGCCCGGATGCGCGTATCTGGGTAACCAGCTGATCGCGGAGAAACGCGCGGTAAACAAAACAAACAGCGTTCGTTGTTCAAGGCATTTTCGTTGATCGCAGACAAGCATGGCCCCGGTTAGCACGAAATGTCAAAGGTGTTCTGCTATAAACTGCACATATTAGAATAAACATCTGAGTTTCTTTCGATTTCCAAAGGACGACGAACATATTTTGATGAACAGAAAAATATAGATCAAAATAATGACAATGTGGTTGTGGTCCTACCAGACTGACACTCCATGCTCAAACTCAACACTCTTCAACTTTGTTATATCAGCAATAAATTGAAGATTTTTTCCTGTCTAAAAGCCCAAATAGAGCTTGCATTCTACTAGTGAAAGATATGTTACATGGGTCTGCGAAAAGATGTCTAAATACAAAAGTGCCATCGAACGGTTTTGCTACTTCCTTTGTCCGATTATCACTTTTTTTAGGGGGGGAGGTGTGATGGTGGATGGAAGGTGTTAGGGTATTAATGACTTTAAGTGGTAGATCTATCATTATTGCTTCGTGTGCATTTCCATGACCTGAAATTGTGAGAATTTAATATATGTGTGTGTTGGGGTGTGTGTGTGTGTGTGTGTGTGTGTGTGTGTGTGTGTGTGTGTGTGTGTGTGTGTGTGTGTGTGTACGAGAGAGACAGACAGACAGACAGACAGACAGACATAGAGACAGAGAAACAGATTGACAGACTGACATATAGACAGAGCGAGAGAGGGGAGAAAGAGAGACAGAGAAAGGGAGAGAGAGAGAGAGAGAGAGAGAGAGAGAGAGAGAGAGAGAGAGAGAGAGAGAGAGAAGGGGGAGGGAGAAAAAGACAGAGACAGACAGACAGACAGACAGACAGACAGACAGACAGACAGACAGACAGACAGACAGACAGACAGACAGACAGAAGAAACGAGAGAGGGAGAGAGACAGGCAGACAGACAGACAGACAGATTCCCCAGTTTGGAGAACTGTTATTGAGTATCTCAATCTTTCTGCAGGGACGTGTTATTTTTTTAGCCTGAGTTGCCCTTGACAGGAAATGGTCGAAGCTCGATTAGATAAATAGATAGATAGATAGATAGATAGATAGATAGATAGATAGATAGATAGATAGATAGGTAGATAGATAGATAGATAGATAGATAGATAGATAGATAGATAGATAGGTTGTTCTTTTAAAAAACTAAGAGCAATTCGAGATATTAACGCTCAATGTCATGTAAATATCCACATTCTTTCTTCAGGATGTGAACGATTTACGGTTCTACAAGAATCATTTCTGCCTTCTCTGCAACAATCTCAAGCCAGAAGCAGACATTGACAAGCCTATTTGTTCTGATTATTATGCTGTAGAACTGACACAAAGGCAGGCTGGTTCTTTTTTTGTTTTCGTGAAGGCCACATCCGACCAAAAGGTGCAAACGTAAATTCGCCTTGTTTATGGGTATCGTATAGGTTGGCACCTTCGCATCAGGGCTGATCTTTTTGTGTTTTAGTTATTTAGTTATTTAGTTATTTAGTTATTTGTAAATGTTATTATTATTTATTATCTATTTACTTTTTTAATGTATTTATTCACTTGTTTATGTAATTTAGTCGATGTGTCAAACTATTATTTTGGATTAATGACTTAATGTGTTCACTGTGCATATTTAAAGTCAACATAAAGGATTACTTGTCTTTTTCTTTTATAATCTGCAACAGAGAAGCGCATTTCCTATATGGGACACAAAGGTATGGTACCTTACCTCTTTCCCGTTTTTTTCCTAGATATGCCGTCAAAAGGTAGCGTTTCTGACGACGGGTGTTGTTTGCTTTGGTTCGAGCCCAGATAGGGCATTCTTGAACTTGTGTTGTTTCGTTCTGTCCACGGCTCCATGCCCACTTAACTGGGTCTGTCATATTATGACAGACAACGACAGAGGGGGTGAAGAAGGGGTGGGGAGGGGGTCACCCGATGAGTTAAGTCTGTTTACTCTTTCAATGTTCAGAGGACATTTCGCTACCTTAGATTACAATTTTCTAACTGCTCAGTACGTAGTTTTGAGAAATTCGAAGTCAAAATTATTTTGTTGAATCTCACAATAATAAAATTATGTCACGCTTTTTTTAATGCAGTAATTTGGAAATCTTGATAACGACTCCGAATAATCTTACAATTTTGATAGAGCAGCAGACATGGCATTTGGTTTCTCCAAGGTCTTAGTAACTCAAAACCGTCAAAAATGTCAGATAGAACTTTGTAATTCTAAGGTCTTACCCGACCAGCAGCCAATAAGAGGCAATGCTGCAGCATATTATTTCAAACCATCCTGAAAAAATCCGAAAAAACGTAGTGTTATACTTCGTAGTACGCATGTCGTTGCCTATCTTTTTAGATAAAGAAATACGAATTGATAAATATCTTTCGATGATGAAGTGTATTGTGTATTGCTTCTCTTTTTTATTTAAAGACCCCCCCCCCTCCCCCGCCTCAACAAAGAAGCGCGTCTTCAAGTTAGTGTTGTCGAAGTACCAGAATGTGTGTCCTTAATGAGTAGATTTTTTTGCAAACTTGGCTGTGTTGTGCAAAAATAGTAGCTTTCGCCCCATGCGTGAAGGAAAATATGGCTGGCCCTGACTCAGTCGAATGAATCAGATTGGCAGGGAGCAATGGACAGTAAGCTACTTTAGAATTACAAAGCTCCTTCTGCTAAAATTTGAAGTTTCACAACATGTCAAGCTTTTTGAAATGCAATTCTTTGAATATCTTGATAAAGACTCTGATTAATCTTACAATTTTGATAGAGCAGATAGAACATTTGATTTCTAACCTTATGGCATTAATACGTAAACTCAAAACGGCCAAAATGTCAGAACTTTGTTAGTCTTGGTAGCAATTAGTCTTTAAATGGGCATTCTTATAAATCGGCGTGTGTGGTGTAATATCATGGCTACATTTCGATGGGATATCGATTCCTTGTTAGGGAATATAACTTTATCGAGTACATCTCCTTTTATCCATAGGGATGTTGTATCCAACTCGCCACGAGTTGACCCAAACAAGTAGGGTTGAACCTGCTGAAGTGTGTCGATATGGTGCACAAAACATTTTTAACATAGTCTTAACATCATCATCACAAAGTGCCAGATGAGAAACAGATACCAGCGATTATGGTTCTCCACCCATATTATCTCCAAATTGGATAATCTAAAAGATCCTAGATTTTCTTCGACACCCATTTGTTTGCGGTTTTCCAAACGTGTTTCTTCGGGTCTACTCCTGACTCGTTTGTAGTCTTTTTAAATTTCAATTTACCTTAAAAAAGTGGAATGTATATAATTTGTTTATGTATCTTTTCACAGTTCGAGTTTACCCAAACCGTGAACAGAGTGGGAACTTACGTCTGGAACAAGGTCGCCTGCTCTGCTACTTCCGGTTCCTGTGAAACTGTCGAGTGCTCCGACCGTTCTATCAAAGAAAATGTGGGTACTGCGGGGAGGGGGAGGGTGGGGGAGGAAAGGAGGTGGGAAGTGGGGGG